TTAAAGCCATACTGAAATATCACAATTAAAGACATTTTACGACCGGTATATTCGACATCTACTAGAACATCTTAATATTCACATCCGGTTGTGCAAAATTTGGGAAATAACACTCAAGTTTTCGCTCAAGTAAAACCAACCGTCAAATATGTTGTATTAATCAATAAAAATACAATGTATTAGTTCCACGACTAAGAACAATTAGATAAGTGTATACAAACAACTTCATCAAAAATCTGTGAAAGTCCGTCAATCATCTATTCAGATCAATCGACATTAACCTGTGAAATGCAATTATTATTTTCTAAATATCTGGAGAATCCTCATATTAACTGTGACATAGTCCTTACCCCCGCAGTGAGAGATATTTGGACTCCACTAAACAGTCACGGAAGTTCACTTTACAGCCTCACTAAACCAAGTCTCGCATATTTAACATGTCCAAATTTTACCGAGATACTCAATCTTACCAGTAACGGTAAGGTATCCTTGGGGCAAGACTGCATTCTGGAAGTCAGTAATTTAACTGTAGAAATGAATAACTACGTAAATTCAAGTTCCGTGAACAATGATTTAATACCTTCACATTATCTGAATTTATCTGAAAGATTTCCCGAGATCCATTTTTTCACAGCCCAAAGAATTTGGGAGTACTCCTCCGAATTAAGGAATCTAGCTGCTATATCTCGGAAAATGTTTCCAAATATTATTAAACAAAATAGAGAGGTTCCGCCAGAATATTCCATGAGAACGTGGATACCAATAATCGGAATTTCTCTCGGCTTGATAATAGCCTTATATATAATTCGTAGTTGTGTATTGTGTATAGGAGCTCGGGAAGCAATAGAAACTGAAGAAAGTCATCGGAGAATCTTGCAGCAAGAGGGGCATATGTACGTAATGATTCCCCTTTTCGAGCCTCTGTGGTCCTTGTAACAACTGAGAGTGCTTATTCACATCCACCTCTTCCCAAACCTGTAAATCCTTACATGGGAATACAATTTAAACAACCACAAAGCAAAGCTGGCACATCTTTATAAAAATTATATTTATCACTCTCTTGTGTGTGTGTATGTGTGTTAAAACAAAGGCAAACTCGCAAAGCAAATATATTTTTCTCATTATGTGTGTGTTAGATTGTATGTTAAAAAAAAAACATATTAAGCGTAAACGATACGTAGTTTTGAGTGACTTTAGTGTGTGCTTAAAAAAAATGGTAAAAAAATGTGTGAACAATAACAATTAATGTTCAGTGTGACTATGCATAAAATGTATTTCACAGACTGTTATAACTACATTTTGTAAACACGTGAATTCCAGGTATGAAAACCACAACCCTTATTCCTAAACCATTCCATTTCCTTATCCTCTATCGTCACGGACCTATTTGGTGAAATCAAGGAGAACCTTGCTTATTCTTCATCTCCGGAGGTGTTACGTACCCTGTACGTATGAGGATCATTAGATAATTCTGTTATCGATCCTCACTGTTTGAGAGGTTTCGCGATACGACTCTTATCAGGGGACGGGATCAGAACGAAGGATGGTCTTCTCGTGTCCTCATGTTGATTAGGGAAAACAGATGGTTGACCATCCCCTTCACAAAATTTGGGAAAAACTACGCAAGCTCATACGGAAAATGAGGAGGCCTAATGTCACCTAATCACCAATCAACTGGCTTCACGAAGGGATAGGGGAAATGTCACAACCAATCCCTGAATAATATCCAAAGAAATCCAATAATTAGGCGGATAATTGAAGAAAACAATGGTAAAAACAGGGGGAAGCTTCTAGAACCTTTTACCCCTGGTGACAATTTAACTGTGTTTATAGATATTACTATAGTCATAGACACTTATAGGAAACTGAAGGGCAAAACAGACCCCTAGAGCAAAACGGATCACTAACAAAAAATTGATAATTTCTTGTTTTTGTTGGTTTTGCGTCCGAATGGAAACGAAAACAAAAATTCACAATCATTTGTGGTTTGAGGTGATTAGCAAATCTGATCAAATTGCGCTTCAACGACACTTCTTGTCTATAAAACCCTTGTGACGATTATGATACTGAAACTCACTTTTAATTAAACACATTCAGTGTTTCTGATTTGAAGGAAAGAAAACAAAAACAAAAATTACTAATTTTCTGTCAGTGGTCCGTTTTGCCCTCCCGGTCCGTTTTTTCTTATCCTCCGCTAGTTCTCGGAGCTACACCTATTGTGACGTATTTTTCAATGACACACGCTGGAAATCGTATGAGTTGTCGTCCACTAACTTTCAGCAACCCTTTCGAAATCTCTCAATCCGAATAAGTACGAAGGTGATCAACGAGAGGAACCAAAGAAACAATACCAAAAGGGCGCTAGTCCTTTTAACCTTCAAAGGACAAAGTCACGATGTCGAAGCGCGTTCCACGACCAGCTCAGGAAACTGCGGAGGCGTGTGAAACATCCGATGCACGACAACGCGAAGGGCACACGAATGAAGAAATTGAACAAAGTTCCAAAATTAAAATCGATAAACGGCAACAAAATGAATGAAATAATTAATATTCAAAAATGAAAATAAAGGAATGATGCCAAAGGCCACTGAGTGCCGCGTCCCGAAGGCAAAAGGCTCGAATTTTAACACTCAAACGGTGTCCAAAATGGCCACCGGAGAAATGAATCGAAACACCACGCGAGCACTTCTAAATTGAATCACGCTCACTGTTTGATACGCGAGAAACTCCAGGATAAACTCGTCTGGACCCTCAGTACGGCGACGTCAGGAAAAGGCCGGAAAATTTCCAGGCACACCAAGGTAATAATTGTTTTAACAATTGAAAGAAGCTCAAACAGCGTAATAAAACTTTAATTGCGCAGAGCGACTTAATATGGCTGAACCCCAGCGAAGAGTGGTCCGTCGGGGCCGTACCTCGCGTAAATCTTAATTATGAATTAACAGAAAATAATTATGAATTTTCAATTGGTAATTATTCAGTATTTATGAGTCCCAGAAAACTGAAACCTGCGCCTCGGGGTCGGTGGAGGTGATCTGCGTTGAATGGCGCATGAGCCAACATAATCCGTGGCTGCCTCGATGCTACAGCATGAATTTTTTTCTTGGGTGGCCTTGCGCCACCGATCCATCGGTGAGGTAGTGGGGGTTCGCACGTAGAGACCTGAGATGCCTGCTGGCGTGCGTCGATCGTCTCTCGCGTCCTTCGTGGTGTGAGTCTCCCAGGCTCAGTGTGTGCGTGCTCGTCGGTGTGCTACTCGTCATCTGTTGTAGCGCCGACTTGTAGCCATTCCCGATGCTCCGCTCCACTCCTCTTGTCGCGAAGCTCACGCGTAACCCCCGGTGAGCGGGATCGACAGAATTTGAGAGAATAATGAAAGAAAGAGTAAATAAAAGAAATAAAGAAAATGACAATTGTGGCCCTGGGTGATCCGACTCCTCGCTATGGTAGAAAAATACTAATTTTCCCCCCATGATCCGCGGTCAGTTCAGGCGAGGAACAGTATATGATTTTTATCATGTTACACTATATACAGAGTGTCCCAAAACGAAATGTCATCCTCGTGAGGGTAGTTCGGGGAGCTCATTTGGAGACGAAAATTCTAATAACATTTTTCTCTCCGACGCTTTGTTTGAGAGTTATCAAATAAAAAAGGACCGCCAATCAAATGTTTTTCCCCGTTAGAGAAATCATATCGTCTTCCCCATTCAATGCGGCCGGGCTAAGGCATGGGATGTCCTATCGATTCCAACCAATCTCATTCCTCGATATCGAATGAGAGAGAAGATATGGATTTTTTACGTAGACTTTGATTTTCAGGGTCACATCGCGGGTTGGATCCAAATGGCTCTTACGTCACGGTGAATTTTGTCGCAGTTTTTCTCACGCCGTTTTGGCAATAGAGGAACAAAATTCATAATGATGTGTTGCGCATTGAATGCTCAATCGATTGCCGCCTTTACCATTCCTACCTCTCAAGTGACAAAGAAGATTTGGATTTTACACGGGAGAGTGTTTTGCGGCTGATCTTCATTTTTTTTTTTATCAATAACTCTTAAGTAAAGCGTTGTAGAGAAAAATTTTATTACAGTTTTCGTCTCCAAATGAGCCCCCGAACTGTTGTTCACAGAGAGAAATTTTTTAGAAAAATCCTAGTGCTAGCACGGGAAAAGAGGCGCAAAGTGATGGCCAGGAAAAAATTCTAGAGCCGGCACTAGAAATTTTATTGGAGAAAACGTGAAATTTTCTTCGTATTTCTGTGAAAATTTCACAGAACTCCCCAGAAATTTTACCAGAAATACCAAGAAATTTAACCTTAACAGCACTAGAATTTTTCACAGCCGGTGAATTGTAATTTTTTCCAGTACTCGTACTAGAATTTTTCTAGAAAATTTCTCTCCGTGTTATAACTGTTGAATAGATTTCGATTTCTCTACATGAATATTCTCTTAGAATTTTTTCTATAAGAATACTTGGGCATAAATTTTCTAAGTTTTCGTCAGTCGGATTCTGTGATGCAAAACAAAACTAAATATAGCGGAAAAATATTGATAATTGAGGCAGTTATGATTTTTTTAATTGTTCGTTTTTCTCCAAATTGGCCCCAATATCTGAACGGGGCTTCAAGCTATCAAATCGCCCATACATAGCATTATCTTCTGTTTGACGGGATTTAACAAATTCTAAATCATGAAATGATATTGCTATTTTCTCCCCCAAACCCTCAGCCCTCAGTTGACGTAGCGTAGGATCGCTGGAGAAACGTGTATGTACACGTGAGATAAAACTAACCAATGGAAAATTCATCGATCGAAACTTCGAAGTTTTCTAGTGAAGAACGTGAATGTTCACTCAATGAAACGATTAATGTCGAATTGAGGGGATGCATTATGGATTTGAGTGAATAAAATCGAACCTTTATTATCTGATAAATAAATTTATTCTCCGGAAGTAGACTATTGGAAAGTTGTCAGAACGTATTGAATGAAGGCAGTGATTACCTTGATGAGACCGAGGCTCGAGTCACTGCGGTTCTCCAAGCTGCAGATGCTGAATTTAATATTGGGTAGATCGAGACGATGGGACAGCTGACGTTGGAAAGTTTGGTGCCTCGTTGGAACAATTGGAAGAGTTGTTTGTCGTAGGACATGCTAAATTAATCAATTCAAAACATGCATTATTTGATTCAATTGTGTTTATGTTTTTAATTTAGCTGTTAATATTGAGGGATTCAAATTCTTATTAAATTTTCGTCGAGGTTTCAGTGTAATTGAAATAGAATTGTTTTCAGAATCTCCGATAATTGAGAAAAATTAATATTTTTTTTCCATTTATCAAATAGTAATTTTCAATCATATTCAATTATTCAATATTATTCATTAGTGAACATATATTTATTTTTAGTCCTGTAGTTTACACTAGTAATTTATTTATTTCCTCATTACGGGCTATCACAGGCTTTCATTTCGTTCTTATAAAAACATAATATTAACCCTAGTTTGGTCACCATATGAGAACTTGCGACTTTGGTCACCTCCGCAGGGAATCGCCGCCGTGTTATTTAGGCCCGAGCGTTGCCGAATTCACTCTATACTGCCCGGGCGCGTTTAGCGAGACTTCGGCAACGTCCCACAACGGGCAATTCCATTTAACATGGGAAAAAATTGCCCGTCTGTTAGAAATAATTTCTTTCCTTCAGGAATTGTGGATATAAATAATTTTTAAAAATATTATAATTTTCTAGACACTTGAATTGACGCATTCCAATTTTTTAGGATTTTTCCGCTCAGCCAGTCAATGGTAAGAAAAAAAATCGACCTTCTGCGGCGTTTTCCTCCTATGGTGACCAAACTAGGGTTAATCTTTGACATTCACGTAAATTCTTATCCATCAGAATACCAAACTTAATTTATAGCTCAAGACTTTAAAGACTAGGGAGGAGGAGCATAATGAGGATTCGTACAAGGAGAATACAAATTAAACAAATGAAATACAACAAAATAAGAAAGACAGATTAACATAAGAATTACAGAATATTAAAATAAACTTATTCTGCAGGAAGGATCCTGCAGTTTATACTAATTTTAAATATTCGATTTTTAATAAAGTAATGGCAGCGCTAAAAATCTTTTTTTAATGTAATCCATTTATTTTATTTGCGATGCGAATAGTGATGTATTCAACTTGTTACTAAATTTTCATCGAGGTTTTATTGTAATTCAAATGAAATCGTGAGAGAACATTCATTTACAGAAAATTTTGTCAATGATAAAAAATGTTTTTTGATATTTTCTTCAAAAATCACTAGTTTCCGAGACGATTTCATGATCAATAAAAATCTCATCTTCGACTTGATATTCAATATATTTCAATTAAAAATTTGGAGTTCTGTTAGATCATCAATGACTAAGTAAATTGCCGCCTGAAAAAATCGCGCAAAATTTCTTATGCCTCGATATGTCCATGCAGTTCAATTTTATATCTCTCTATATTTCAAGAATCCAAATCGACGTCTGGTGAAGTTAGAAACTAAAGGTCACGAGCGTCAGAATAAAAATCATGGGGATCACATGGGGGTCCTATGGTGGTTGCCGAGCGGAGGGAGCAGGGGGCGAGCCTTCTAGTAAAATATAAAATTTTCTGTGGATGAAATTTGTTTATTCTTCATTTGATAATAAAATAGTAATATCAATAAAAATGTCATCTTCGACTTGTTATTCATCATGTTTCGATTAAAAATTTTACGCTCTATTTATCAATGAATAAGTAAATAGCCACTTGAAAAAATCACTCAAAATGTCTTATGCAACCATATGTGCATGCATTTAAATTCAATGTAAAATTTCCTACGGGGCTCGTGAAAGAAAACTTCATGAATAAGAATATTCTATTTCTAAAGGTCTTCACATTCTCCGGAAATTTCCGAGTTTACATTTCATAAAAATTCGAAACTTTCACCGACCTTTTTACTATCTTTCTGCTCCTGCACGTACTCATGAGTAATCGGCTCAGACTGCAAATCAGGCAACGAATGACTGATGCGTATGGCATTCTGCTGCGACAATTCTCCATCGGTGTCATCGTCACTCTCTTGCCTAGCGACACCTAGGAGCCACTTCCACGTGGATGAGCACTGCAAGCTCACTGCTGCGAGAAGAACGAGTGCCATGAGTGCTACACCAGTGCCAATCAGCAATTGATAGGGAAAGCTCTCACTCCACTCATCTGTATAGAAATTATATCACCAATGTAGTGAAGAAAAATAATAGAAGCCGCAAGAAAATATTTCATGAGTTTGTCGATCTGTACTTCAATTTGAAGCCAATTTTATGGCTTCACGCACGAAAAAAATTGAATAGAAAAACCTAGCGAATTCGCAAAACAATTCTATTTTTGGCTGATTCTATTGAAATGTTCAATAGAAAATATTCTATAGAAAAAGGCAACAGAATTTGATTTTTCTGTACGACATATTTTTTAATTAATACTTTAATTAATACTTTTTTTAAATTAATTGTTTATAATCATTCTTATGGCAATGACTCAATCTATCAGCTGTTAAATATTCATATTACAATAAATAATTTGCTCATATTCTAATTCAGATACTCACTGAATAAAATTTTAATTATAATTACAATTTAATTCCTTCTAGAACACACTTTAGAGTGTGAATGTCTGGAATTCAACGTTTGCTGATACTCTGGCAAAAGTGCGTCCCCACACTGTTGAAAATTTTTAGTTAGTTCACACGGTAATTTAATTAATCTGTTCTTCATCTCGTCAATATAATTCTGTGCTTAGAATATTGTCATCTCGTGTTTTCAGCACCAAATTAAAAATTAAAACTTAATTAGGAATATTGATTCACAGCTTCTTTTTATTCATATCAAAAATTTTGTATTTGGATATTCATATTATTTGTTCAAAGTGAAAAAATCGATTGTGGGATTCGGTGAAGGATAGAAGGGTTTTGCAAGTTATAGCACTCGGAATTAGCGTATATATCGAATTGAATTTATTCACAGCGAAAGTAACTTTGGTTTACACCATGAGAACTGGAACGAGAGTGTGCTCCCGCGACAACGGTATTAGATCATCTGATCGAGGATGTCCGAATTATTACGAATGGTCGCGAGGATGTCTTGCGACAAGGACAGCGAGATATCGGCGACACGTGTCACGGTACGAAATTCGGTTGCTAAGCCGAGCTTGAAAACAATGCATTGAAATGGTGTGAAATAAATATAAAAGTAGCTTCGCTACATCGATGATCATTTTCACTATATTGCGTTCAAATTCTCCTATCCTTAACGTAAAAAAAGTGGGATAATCTCATAATTCTAGCTACTAATTCTCATCAACTTTGATCGAACAAAACTTCAGGAAGCACAATATTAAGGAAGTAGAATTATTTAATTTTCCTCTGGACTAAATGATTTGGACAATTAGGACTCGTTTATTCATTTTTTATAGAATGGTATTCCATTCTCTTTTGTTTGTTAGACGGGCTTCATGAAAATTCGACGCAAGACCATTGCACTCATTTTCGATTCCATATATTGTCCATTTTTTTCTTAGAACGGATATAATTCGATACAAAAATCTATGTTTCGTACTGAGATAAATTCACTCATTATTTTCCAAATAAGAATGTGACACTCCTCATCACATTTCAAAGACAGAATGACTGAACTAAATCCCTGAAATACAAATAAAATCACCCCATTAATTCCACTGAAGGGCTCCTTCAATTAATTACCCTTCCAATTCACGTCATATGTGTCAATTAAAATACAGATTGAATAAATAAATCATTCCCCAACATATCATCAAGCGAAATAAAACTCATAGTCGGTCAATCAATGACCGTAAACCATAATTTATCCCGTGATATTTTGAAACACGGGTATCGATTTCAAATTGTTTGATTATCGTTGACATAAATTCCGGTATCCAAGGTTAATATTTCTCCATGGCAATGGGGATATAATTTCTCGCAGTTATCCTTCGCTAATTGCCAATGCGACCGTAAGCTCTCACTGTGATATAGAGATTCACGGCCATAGAGAGCAGCTTATACTGTTACCTGCATCCCGTGGAAACAATAGACGAGCAGAATACAGTGATAGAGGCTATTGAGAGCCGGCGAGCGTGGGGAGGGGAGCGGAGGGTATTTAAACTTGATGGCAGTGGTCGAGACACGCTCCGGTCCGGCCAAAGACAAAGGGGATACACGAGGAGGCTAGACTTCTCTGTGGAGCCAGGGTCAACACTTCAATACGGTATCCAATAACTCTGGGTACATTACGGTAACGCAGAATGATGCGACGATGTATCAAAGGGCGAGCATTGAATTATCGAAATTCATCGGCGTTGATCAGAGTTCAAGGACTCATGGCTTTTGGACAGGATTGAAAAGTTCAGGGATTTTTAGTAATTAAATTTTGAACAGGTGAGTGATTCAATTCAGGGAAATAATGAGCGCAGGTGCAGATTACGCTGCGGATTAACCCGTTGTGGCACGGAGCTCCCGAGAAGTATCAGTGTGAGGGGAGTGGGGAGTGTGTCCCAGTGTTAGGGCGCCATAAGAGAAGTGCAGCGGTGCACGCACACTACTACAAAAAGCCAAAAAATGGGGTACCCCAATGGGTTAAGGAACTTCCGCAGTAAATTTTGGGGCTATGGAGTGGGGGAAAATATCAAAGGTTCCGACACTCCGCTGCATCCATTTAAAAAAAATAATGAAGTGACGAGAAGTTTACGGGTGTATTGAAATTTCGTCATTTGGGTTTCTTTGCACTTATTAGTCATGATTAATCAATTCCAAATAATTTTTATTCCGAAATATTATTTATCTGAATTTTTTAACAAATAAAAATTTTCATGAGTGATTTGACAACCATGCATTTTTTTGGACGCAGTTGGTATTCTTGTGTCCCGATAAAATCCTATACTGTACTATAGAATCTATAGTATATGCCTTGGCGGAGTTTACACAATGGCCTCCGCCGCGCTCCCTCTAACCTCCCTCAATGTTGCCATGTTCAGCCATCAGTTTCCTCTAACGTAAATAAAATCCCGAACTATGCCATACATTTTCAATAATTACAAATAATTCCTGTAGTGACAAATAATGAAATTGTAGGGATATGTTCAATTTGGGTGCCGACTGAAGATTAAACCCAAACGTATCCTATGGTTTTGATGAAACCATAGACGTATCTACGTCAAAATTGAGAAAAACTCTCTTGAAAATAACTTATCCATAATTTCATTAAATATCCATCATTCCTAGGAATAATTGTGTAACGGTGATCGATCTTTTTCCCGTACATCATATAGTGAACTTTCAGCTGATGCGCCTCAAAACTTTCGACGGGGCGTATTGTTTATTTTAGAAGGCGCGAAATTCTTCTGTGAATTAATGTTCATTTTTCAATATTCAAAAATAAAAATTGAGAATAAAAATTTATTATTTTTCCCGGAATTGGGAAACAATTACGACACTCATGTGGAAAATTACACGGAGAGAAATTTTCTAGAAAAATTCTGGTACGAGTACTAGAAAAAATTACAATCCACCGGCTGTGAAAAATTCTAATGCTGTTAAGGTAAAATTTGTTGGTATTTCTGGTAAAATTTCTGAAGATTTCTGTGAAATTTTCACAGAAATACTGGGAAAAATTGACGTTTTTCCAATAAAATTTCTAGTGACGGCACTGGAATTTTTTCCTGGCCGTCACTTTGCGCCTCTTTTCCCGTGCTAGCACTAGAATTTTTCTAAAAAATTTCTCTCCGTGTACCATGCACGGTGAAAGGTAATTCTTGTTCCCAAATAAGAGTCATTTTTTTGATTCAACGAATGTGATTTTTTTTTAAAGGCCTTTTGAGTCCCCTTTTTCGGGTCTCATTTCGGCACTCTATCCAACCCTACGCATGCGGCTGTGGATTCCATACTGTACCGCATTCGCACTCCTATAGAAAATAGGAGTAGCATGGGAAACCACAGGAACCCCATGCCGATACAGGCGGTTACTCTATTAGCAACCTCCCGTTCGCCGGAGCCTTCCGTTGAAAAATTCGGTTCCACGAGGAATTGAACTCACAACCTTTCGCACACTAGACTTGCGTCTAGCCCACTCGGCCACATTTTTTTTTAACCATGTTTTTATTCAAGTTTACTAAGGTGTTTACTAATATTTACACATATTTACATGAATTTACATTAAAAAACAGGTATAAAAAAATTAACATTCGGTATATGTCTGATTATAATAACCATTGGTCACTCAGTGACTCTCGAGTTTAATCTTTGTACTTTGTTTTTTTTTTATGTTTCCATTATCATATTTTTCAGTTTTTTTGCTCCATTCAGTAGCATATTGTATTTATTATAAATATTATATGCGCTCAAAAAAAATAAGTATTTAATAAAAAAAAAGGGAGAAAGAATGTAGTTGCATTTTATGTGTAAAAAAAGCGCTTTTTTAATTGCGGGAGTCCACTCGGCCACCGACGTCGGTAACGAATGTGATTCTTCATTGAATTACATTTTGTCGCATAATTACATTTCGGACAGTAAAATTTGCTGCAATTTTCTAAATAATATTTCCTCAACTTTTCCCTTCTAGCTACTTCCACGTAGAGGAGCAACGAAAGCGCACAGCTGCGAGATGACCGAGTGCCATGAGTGCTACAACACTGCCGATGAGTTATTGATAGGGAAAGCTCTCACTTCACTCATCTATGCAGAAATAATATAACAGATGTAGGAAGAAAAGTAATAGAAGTCGAGAGAAAATATTGCATGAGTTGATCGAGTTATACTTCAATTTCAAGCCAAACTGTGATAATGTGATAATAGGTGAGAAGCCACTGGTCGCAATTATTTCTCATTTCTTGATGAAATAGTATTTCATATTTGATTTCATAATTTGTTATTTCATTTAAAATGATTAGAATAAATGATTCATACTAAAACGTAGTATTTATTCTTCATAATTATTAAGATAATAGGCGGCCTTGCAGTCTAGGGTAAATAAAACTCATTAAAGTTGAATTATAAACTTGCCGATGTTTTCGACAACAGTCGCCGTTACAACAAAGTAAATATGGTCTGCATATTAGGAAATTTTTCTCTCAGTGCATGAAATTTTTTTTTTTCTAACAGTGTACTTTAGGAATGGGCGATGTTTGTCGATTAATCGAATACATCGATTTTTCATGCTCAAACATCACTGTTTCTGACCAACATACCAAAATTTTTCATTTTTTCGCCGAATAATTATGTTGATTGGTTGAGAATAAATAAAATAGTAATTCATCCGCAATCAGGAGTAATTATTTTTACAATAAACCGACTGTAATGGTTAGGTGGGTGAGGTGTTGCTCCGACGGACATCCAAGCTAAGCAGGGTTGAGCTGGGTTGGTACTTGGATGGGTGACCGCTTAGGAACACCTCGCTCGCACAAAAATTGCGGGCGGTAGGAACGGTGTAGCGGCCTAATGTCTCCATCTAGTCAGTGTGACAGATGGATATATTAGGGCACTGCACAATCGGCCGGCTGTGCGACTGGAGTTTTACATGGTTTCCCGTGCAGTCCTAGCTCGAATGTGGCACAGCTAAGAATAAGACGGCCATGATACCGCAGATAACAATGAGAGAGAAATAAACGAGGGGAGGCAGGCTAGAGGAGGGGTTTCAAATCCAGAATTACTTCGATAAAACCAATGAAATAGAAAAAAAAATATATATATTTTTACAGTATGTATGTTATGACTAATAAGTGAACAAGTCCAGTCATTTAATGTTTTTTTTTTATTTAAATTTTTAACAATTAGTGCAACTAACGGCAAATATTCAATATAGTTTTTTTAATTAATCAAAAATCCGATTTCGAGATTGTTTAGTTTGGTAAAAAACAATATTTTTAACACAAACGGTTGGAAAGACGAATGGTAAAAAGTAAATAACCCGAGTGGAAATTGCTTCAGGCCCACCTGAAGCATGATCAGAACTTGATCAGGTTTTTGTAAGGTTCGACTGATCTGGTGATTCCTGATGAGAAACTGACCAAGTTCTGATTCAGCAGATCGGATCCGAAAAACTACAGGCGGGTTCGGATCAAGTTCTGATCAGGTAGACATGATCAGATGATGCCTGATGAGAACCTGATCAAGTTCTGATCCAGCAGATCGGATTCGAAAAACTGCAGGCGGATTCGGATCAAGTTCTGATCAGGTAGACATGATCAGATGATGCCCGATGAGAACCTGACCAAGTTTTGATCCAGTAGATCGGATCCGAAAAACTGCAGGATGATTCAGATCAAGTTCTGATCAGGTAGGCACGATCTCACCCGGAGGTCGGCTGCCTGACCCCAATTTGATCAAATTCGGATTTGATATCTTTGATCGGCATTTGAACGGGGTCAATTGAAGAGAAAATGATCAGATTCAGATCCGTTCCACCTGACATTAATTTTAATCTGTTTTTCAGATAATTTAATTAACTATTATTATACTATTCAAATTAAATTTCATCAACCATTACCAATAATTATTTTTAATCTTTAAAAAGGATCATTATACTATAATTAAAATAAATGAATTAAATTTAATTAATCAATTTAATTAACAGCCAGCCCTTCTCAAATGTACAGAAGGGAGGGATGACGATGTCATAAATACTTATTAGAGGAGTATCAAATTTACACGCAAATGATCTTGACAAAAAAAATCACCAAATGTATATTTATTTATTAGAGTTATTGTTATTATTATTATTATTATTATTATTATTATTCATTAATGAAATAAATAAAAATTTAATTGAACATATTTTATCTCTGAGAATACACACGCACATCTGTGAGATCAGGAATAATCGTAAATTAAACGAATACTCCGATACAAATCATATAGGGAATGTACATTTTACTCAATAGTAATAGTGTGATAGCGTAGTGGTTAGGGCATAGGATTAGCAATCATAGGGTCCCCGGTTCGATCCCCAGCATCGGTAAAAAAATAATAAGCTTTTTCAGAGGTAAAGACAGTAGAGATTCATTAAGAGACGCGCCTTACGGTGAAAGAATTGAATTATCTTTTGTTTTGGATTAGTTATCATTGATAATTGTTATTAACACAGACAGACAGGTCATCCGGTTTTCATACAGTTCACTTGATCAAGTTCGGATCCATTCGTCTTGATCAAATCCGGATTGGTCAGAGGCGTAACATGTCTGATCAAGACCGGATCCGTCAACTTGATCAATACCTGATCAGTGGTTAGGTCTAACCTGATCCAAACTTGATCAAGACCTGACAGGAATTTCCACTCGGGAAAAAAATAACACCAAGTCACTTCACTTATGAGTTCAAAATATATTTTCACAATTTATTTACACTTCATATTATTTTTAAACTAATTTGGATAAAAATGAACTGTGAACAGAGTTAAAAATTTACAGAAGCGCGGAGGTAAAAAATGTTTAAAGTATTATAATGACGACGAATACTTGGTCATACCGACGAAGACTCAAGTAATGTTTGTTGTACTGAATATCAGATACTACTAATTCTTGCGAAGTAAAGTGCCGACTTATATGCTAAAAGTCCGCACCAACTAGACGAAATATTAGATGATCTGTGATTGGTGGAGAAAAGTGTACAGACATTTTCATTGGTTAGTTAGGTCAAGGGATAGAGTGGGTGAAAATGGAGAGTGGAAGGGGAAAGGGCGCCAGAAAATTTGGGACTTGTCTGGGTCCGAAGTGTTGCCGTGACAGTCATAAAATCATAAACGACCCGAGTACCGAAGTAATTGAATATTTTCCCGGGTTTCTCGAAGGAGCAGACAATAAGAGACCGTAATAATGATGTGAAGTAATGAAATAATTTTCCCGGATTCCAAGAAATGATGAAAAGGTTTCTGAAATAGACAAATATTTCGAAGATTACAAATTTTTGCCGTAATAAAATTTCCGTACTAAAATGAGAGAAATAGACATTAGAACGAAAGATTCTTCGGGACTGTTGGTTTTACAATTGCACCATAGAAATATTTTGGAATAAAAGGAGGATTAAGATTTCAAAGTTTCAATGTGAATGACGGAAAATTTTGCTAATGAATAATTCTACGAATAAATTCTTCGGGAATTTTTGGGTTTTTCAAAAGTCCATTGACCCCAACACGATGAATACCTCCGCGACGGAACAGAGATTGATAATTGAACTTTCCACCAGTACTTAACATTGAAACGTAAATTCCTCAAGTTGTATTTTTTAAATATATATTTTTCAATAAAAACGAGAAGAAAAAAAATTATTTTTAACAATTTGTTTTTCGTCCAGTGTAATGAGAAAAACATCAATTTTTTAAAATAATTGATGTTTTTTCCTGAAAATAGATTCACAACATCGATGTTTTTTAAGACATCGCCCATCTCTAGTGTACTTGGATATCCTTAAGTCAAGTCGCGATATACTCCAAACAAGAATTTCTTTTGTGACAAATAAATAACTACTTGTTTCCAAAATTATCTCAACGATTTATTGTCCCCACAATTTTTCATCAGCAAAGAATAATAATGACTTTTTCATTAAATTGCCCCATGATGTAATTAAAAATCTCCCTGTAATTCCTTGCGGCTGTGTTTTTAATTGGAGCAAGAGCAGCAAGAAGGTGCGTCTTTGTAATTAACCCTTGAATGGCGTGATGGGTTTTTACGTGTTCTGACGCCGATATACCCAACGACCTCAATAACAGCATCACCCTGCACGACTTCTTTGATCTTAGTGACCTTATCCTCGGACTGCTGATAGCTACGTGTCACGGCCAGTGCGGCCTCTTCAGCTAGTTCCGGGGGCACCGCAGCAACAGCTGCCTCCGCCGCAACTATTTTTTCCGCAAATTTTGCCATGTCCTCCGCGCAGACCAGTGCCTCAACAGCCTCCACCAAGTCATTGTCAGTTTCGGTTGATAAGTGGGATGAAACGTTAGCACTGCTCATGCTTGTTAGTGTTTTTGGGAGATGGTGAATTTTTGGGTGTAATTTTGCGTCTCGTATATCATTTTCCTCCATTAAGTTGGAAAGTCTTAAATTTCCTACTTTTCTGGAATAATGATAAAGCGAATAAACGAATATTCAGATGTTTTGGACGGATTATTGTACATAAAAAATGAGGCATTTGAATCAAATAAAATTTTTCATTTGAAATTTTTCCATTTTTCCACACTTTTGTTGGAAATTAATAAACTCTCATGGTTATTATAATAAAAATGTTTCAATTATATAAAATGAATAATTCGTCGATTTCAAATGAATCCTTCATTACATCAAATAAATAATTCACTTATTACTTCATTCACTTATTCGTTCTCTTCTCGGTTTGGACAATGATTTTATGTTTAATTAACGAAATCTCTATTCGGATCTAAACAATATTTGTTTGTATTTAAAAATTTATTTATATTATCCCCTGCAATAACAATTTTGTATCCGCTAAACGTGAATATCGAGGTACTTGAGTCGAATTCCTGTGATTTTTTTTGTTATTGACAAATTATTAATGCATATCTAAAAACTCGTCTTTTCCGGCAAAAAAAATTGGGGTGTGGAAGTCCTCAAACATTTTTCCGTATTTGCAACGATTTCATCAATAGAAATTCATAAACGAATGATTTTCAAGATATAAATACATTGAAGGTATAGATACAGCGTAGTTAATAATATTTCCCACAAGATATATTTTTTCATATTTTTCAGAGTGGAACTCACGAAACTACAACGATTTTTCTAATTGTTTATTTGAAAAATATCAATAATATTTATCTTTTCGATCCATTTTTTTCTACATAGCTAACCATCTTTTCTCAATGATAAAGCCCTCCTGAAATTTTTGGATTCAATAATCTATAAGTTTTGAGATATAAATATTCAAAAATAAATATTCGTTATTCACTGGAATTTTCCAATTCTTATAACTTTAACAAAAAAAATGGGCTGTTAATGGTATCTCTGGTCCTCCTTCTGTGATATATGCAATTTAAAAAAAGAAAAAAAATTTTCGCCACGGCGTAGGCGCAAAGGACACATTTTCCTCCTGCTTCGCGGGAGGAAAATCTGCCTTTCCGCCTACGCCGTGACGAAAAATAACGTTCTCACCACGGGAGGTAAAATAAAGAACCCTTACCCATCTGCTTACCATCCTCGCCTTCGGCTCGGGTGGTAATTCTGCACGTGCCTCCTTTATTTTCGCTCCCTTGGTGGGAAATATACTATCACGTTTCACTAGTACATGGGCATGACTGAATCCAGTAGATTCAGACAAAAGGGTCAGACTAAATTTTCTGTATTTTACGGAACTTCCTATAAACAGGAGTTTTGGCGTTTTTAATAATTTGAAAATTGCAGTTTTTGAAAAATTACAAGTATTTTCCATGAATGACTTATAAGCAATCAATTTTCCATCATAAAAATCGATTGTTCGGAATCACAACAAATTTATTCATACTCGGAATTTTGGCAGAAATCGATTTTCTGACTAAAAAAATTAGGTTTCTGAAAGTTTAAACAATTCCAATTATTTATTTATAAATAACGAATATTTAAAAAAAACAATAATTCTATGCAAAATGTAATTTTAATGACGCAATTTAAAATGTAATTTTAATTTTTGATGATTGAAAATGGTTGAATTTATAGTGTGATCTCTGCCATACTATAAAAGATACTCGGATATTATGCACCCGCTTTACCTCTTCGCTACTGAATTAATTCATCGAGGATTGATACTCAGCAGTAAAAAAAATACAGTCAATGAGTGAAAAACTTGGGTGCAGATGATTTTGCAAATATCTCGTGAAACTGCTACGCTGACAGAAAAAATTAGTTTTATCAAGAGAATTTTATTTGAACCATCTATTATTTGGTTGTTAATTTTCAAATAAACATGATTTCATAGTGAATACTAGTTATCTCTTCTTGAGATACATTTGATTGGGAGAAATCGAACTTCTCTAGACTTGAAGTTCCGTTTACTTGCCTCAATAATGAGAGTATTTGATTTATTTCTAGCCAAAAGTTTGCTAATTCCAAAAATTAGTTGGTTTACTCAAAGATCAAAATTATTCTCATGACTAAATACGTTGTTATCTCAATCAACACGATCATACGTTGTTATAAACAAATTATAATTGAAATGAGCATTTTGTATGTCGAATCAGGATGAATATTGGTACGCGGAAAAAGTTTTGAGATTGTCGTAAGATTTCGTTGAGTTGAAAGAAGTTTATATTTTTTGACTAAAAAAAATCGTATTTGTTTACAATAACAGAATCACAGATTACGGCAATTCAACACAAACTTGGATATCACAAATTTCGTTCAACGTGATGTACGGAAAGCTCAATTTAAACATCGGCTCCATTCGAGAAAACAACATTCAATTCATTCCTCAATGTAATCATCTCCTAGGTACGAATTTTTGATCAATTCATGAAGGTAGAAAAGTCATGAAAGTAGAAAATTTATCAACTGGAGATTATATTAGGTTAAAAAAATAGAACTTTTCCATTTTTGTGGTGAATAGATGTGACTTGGCGCCAAGGACTAATTTATTTGATTCAAGTAAATGTATCTCAATAAGAAATAATTTATATTCACCGTAAGATCTTATTTATTTGAAATTGGTTCAAGTAAATAATTCTTGTTCCAACAAAGAAACATCTCAATAAAAATAATGTTTTTTATTAGTGCATTTTCGAACAAAAAGTCCGAGAATTTTCAACCCTACAAAGTAAAGAAAATTCATCTGTGAGCTTCCCCTAAATGTCTTCCTCTCGAATATATTGGACAAAACACTTAATCCTCTCCCCCAACCATCTCACATTTTCCCTACACGCTTATCCCATAAAATCCTCTTAAAAGTCATTCAATTTGTCGATGAATCTGCGAAATTCAACTCCCGAGAGCCCAATGGGAACCCCGTACGCATGACTGATCGATCTTCCCCGTAACCTTGACACACAAGGTTCACTTGAACATCCCGGGAGAGAGAGAGAGAGAGAGAGAGAGAGAGAGAGAGAGAGAGAGAGAGGAACGGGAGAAAAAGGAGGAAACCCTCGTCGCCGTTGAGAAGCGTGGGAGAAGGTTCGTCCCGTGTTGTAACCTACCTCAGTTATTTATATCCCTCAAAACCTGGATGTTTACCTGTGTCTCTGTAGTTGCGCGTTAACCATTTCATCGAAGCGTTCCATTATCGATTTACTCTGGTTTTTGGTCCATCGTATCTTGGTACTCCTTACGTCCCTGACCCTCACGCCCCCGGGATAGTGGGATGCGTTCTGTGCCATGGTCAGGCTGTACTCCGCACTCTGTTAAATGTTCGCTTCACTCAACAACAAAAAATCCTGATGAAAAATGACCTCAACCAACCGAAATTTATGCATGAATTATTCCTTCATTTCCCATTTTCCCATCCGCGTATAACAAAAGAGGGTTGATTGAAATATTTACAAATGGTTTCTTTTGTGGTTTTGTTTTTGTTTGAAATTGTAAATGAAAAAAAGTTGAACTGTAACCCTGGACAGCTATTGTCTACATCGTATTCGTTGATTAGAGTGAGGGGCTGATGTTTAAAAGATCAAGGGATAACATTACTGCAGAGTGGAGGGAATTTCAGGCATTGACATGAGTGATTTTAATGACTACATTGAATTCATGATTTCACTGATTTCAACCAACGACAAGCAGTGATTTCGATAGGCAGTCTTTAACAAATGATGAATTATTAGTCAATTGAAATTAAATTTATCAATGAATTAAATTTCAATTGACACAATTGAAATTTATTTTATTGTAGAATTTTGGAGACGATTCAATTATAGCTTGAAGTATTGACGTCTAAGATTAGTCGGAATATACCTCTTAAAAATCCTTAAAAATATGTTTGGAATTAAAAAGAAGAGAAACGACCAATAAGGTATTTATGGCGGGGTGGGCATGTAGAAGATGAGACGGAGGGGAATCTATTGTTCTCTCGCAGAAAACTAATCGCTGAACAAAAAAAAACTACATTTCAATTACAAATTTTCAATCTATTTCGACCATTTTTGTTTGAAATATTTTTTTAATAACTTTTCTATTTTTTCTCACATATTTCAAGACTTCTGAGAGTAATTATTAAAAAAACATATATAAAAAAAAATTATAAAAAAATTACTATTCAAAGTATTATTACTATTACTATTACTATAATCCGTGAGAAAATCCGAAGATCCCAATCCGTACCCAATAATTTTAATAGAAAATATCTCAAGAGAAATATTCAAACAGAAAAATCGAAATCTATTGACTTGTTCCTATCAAATATCGAATAGAATTTACGCAAACAATAAATAAAATTTTAACGAGAATTCCCTAGAATTTTAATAGAATCTCCGTAGAATTTCTAAAGAATTTCAATAGAATTTTCTAGCGAATTCGCTAAAATCTTCTATTAAATTTTTTAATACGTGGACCATTCATCCTCTGATATGAGAGTCACCTTCAAGATGAATTACCTAAAAGTCACTAGTTTTTTCGGGACAAGTAAAGAAAATTCATCATTCATTTCGCATTTTCCCTTGACACAGAATAAAAACCATCCAGAACAAAGTTTTGCTCTGCGATACTCGCTGAATAATTTGTCTAAAAATTTTGGACTCATCTATTCTCCACCACTGCCCACTGAAATACAATATTTTCCCACGCCCCATTTTCCATCCACAAAAGACAAAAGAGAGCAGAAATATTTGCCAACGTAATCCCATTTGTGTTTTGTTTCCATTTTAAATAGAGAAAAAAATTAACTAAAACTTTTGCACTCATACAGCTTCCCGATTGTGTCCTGCAGTATTTACCTGACCCGAAAATTCGAGGTAGGTTTCCACTGCAGATGAATCAATCCTCAATGCGACTCAATCAGATCTCCCACCGTCTGTAAACCTACCTGTCAACCTCGCGGACTAATCAGTTCCCGCATTGCCCTCTCGAGACTAGTTTTACGAGTTTCCTCACTCCAGTAGGCGCATAAAGTATTCATCAGGATCGTGGAAGGACCTAAACGAGCCACCAGCTTCACTTGGCGCTACAAGTTTGAAGTTTGTTAAACTAAATTATACGTAAATATCAGGACTTCTGTAACCGAGATTATTAATTCCATTTATACGCGGTATTTGTGCGTTAGAGTGTAGATCATCTGGGGTTCCTTTGAGGGCTCTGCTGTGCTTTGAAATCCCTTGGGCTTTAAGGCGATGAACAAGGAGGATTCGAGGCAATGGGAGTCGACCTTCAGAACACCTCGGGTCTTTATCAATCACATGGACAGTTATCATGGAAGAGCATTGACTGGTGTAAGCTTAATGTCCTCACAAAGCACCTTCGTCGGTCAACATCATTCCTACGTCCCCAGAATAGAATGATATGACTAGGGCAAGCAAACTAGTAGATAGACACCGCTCAAAAGAGACACGGAGAGAAATTTTCTAGAAAAATTCTAGTACAAGTACTGGTAAAAATCACAATCCACCGGCTGTGAAAAATTCTAGTGCTGTTGAGGTAAAATTTCTTGGTATTTCTGTGAAATTTTCACAGAAATACGGGGAAAACTTCACGTTTTCCCCAATAAAATTTCTAGTGCCGGCACTGAAATTTTTTCCTGGCCGTCACTTTGCGCTTCCACGGACAAAAAAATTTAATAGAAAAACCTATCGAATTCGTTAGAAAATTCTATTGAATTTCTATTGAACTGTTCTATTAGTTTTTGGCCGATTCTATTGAAATGTTCGATAGAAAATATTCAGTAGAAAAAGTTAATATAATTCAATTTTTCAATATAACTTATTCTGTTGTGATATTTTTTATAGAATTTCCTCGGCTCCAATTTTCCAAGTTTTTTCGTTTGATTTTCTTGATCAGAAGAAAAGAAAAATAGAATGAAAAAAACTTAGAAAATTTGAGTCGAGCAAATTCTATAGAAAATAGATGAAAAGAATAAGTTATATAGAAAAATCGAATTCTGGTGACTTTTTCTATTGAATATGTCAATAAAATCAGTCAAAAACTAATAGAAAGTTGAATAGAAATTCAATAGAATCTTCTAACGAATTCGATAGGATTTTCTATTAAATTTTTTCGTGCGTGTCTTTTTCCGTACTAGCACTAGAATTTTGCTAAAAAATTTCTCTCCGTGTAGTTTCAACTTGTTGTAGGTATTTTATGGATAATATGATAGGAATTGTACTGAAATTTCAATTTTGAAAAACAAGTGTGTTGCTGCCCTTTCATTCTGCCTTTCTTTCCGTCAGATTCGATATTCCTATTTTCAATTAGACCAGGGTATATAACCAGGGTATATAATGAGATTCCGAGGCAAAATGATACCTCGGGGCAAAATGAGACCCCTCTGTTTTTTTTGGTTTTTCAATGAGACAAATGAGTCCAGTGTTTTTTTTCGATGTAACATCATTTTACAGATCACATAAGTAGGAAAATAAGTTTTTGAATCAAAACAGGAACTTCTGTCTAAGACAATCTCTAATCGTCGTTATGATCAATATTCTAGTTTCTACGGGAATGAGAAAATTTCTTGTCTCATGCAGATATTTCATTTTACAGTTATAAATTCTTGTAAGTTTATAGAATATAAAAATCAAAAGCAGTAATTCATTCTAGAGCTTTCTGGAAAATTCTAGAATATTCTTGAGGTTTCGAGAATATTTTTGAGATTCTTACAAAGTTTCAGGATACTATCGGGTATTATAGAAAGTTTGAGAAAATACTTTGGTTTTACAGAAAATTCGAGAAACTTCTCGGGGTTTCTGAACAACTCGGAAAAATTCTCCGATTTTCGAAAAAATTCGAGAAAATATTCAGTTTTACAGAAAATTTGAGAAAATTCTTTCACAGAGGATTCACAGAGGATTTGAAACAACTCTTGAATTTTCGAAAAAATTCTCCGATTTTCTAGAAAATTCGAGCGAATTGTCAGGTTTTCTAGAAAATTTGAGAACATTTTCTGATTTTCTAAAAAGTTGGAGGGATTTCTTGAAAAAACATGGATTAAAAATTATGCAGAAAATCACAGAAAATGTTCGAGAATCCCCAGAAAATATCCGAAATGTAAATTTTACGCAGCCAGAAAGTATGATAAACACAGAAAAAAAGTTTCTGGTTTCCAGAAACTGTCTCTACAGAAAAAAGTTGCAGAAAAATTACTAACAAGTCAGCGGAATGCATCTTTAGGTTTTTCTCACCCTATATCGGGAAAGAAATTATAAGACAAATAGTGACTTTTTCTCCACTGATTCAGAAAAATTTCCTAAACGTGAGGGTAATTTGGACCGAAACTGTAAAATTTACCCTGTATCCCATCAGAAATTTTTAAAGTTTTCTTACTTTGCTTTTTTCTCCTCTCATTAAACAAAACCAACATAAAGACTTGGAAAATTTGAGGCGACGAACACACAGAAAAACCTAAACGTAAATTACGTTTTTTGTGTAAAATTCTCTATCGAATATCTCAATACACTGAGAAAAAAAATTCCAATATCTGAAACAGATTTTCTTGAGACAAGTAATTTTTTTTCAATTCTTTAATTCTTCCAGGCATCTGAACTCACGTGACCCGAAAAAGGTCTCATGTTTCAAAATATTCTTGTACTCAAGCATGATTTTGTCGCAAATGAAGTCACTCAAATCGCGTAGAAGAATCGTCAATCTTCAAGTATTTATTGTTTTCATAATTTTTTTGTTATGCAGTTAAAATCTTTCGATATGTAATATATTCATGATATAATGCGCAACGATAGTGATAAATGAGAATTCATTCGAGTTCCGTGAACCACAAACATTCTGAGATTTAAACCATTGAAAATAATTTACTTCTCTAAAGTAACTATGGTCTACATACTAGAAAATTTTTCTGTCAGTGTAGATTAAATTGTACAGAAAAATCAAATTCTATTGATTTTTGAAAATAATATATTTTCCATTGAATATTTTTGTTGAAGAAAATAGAATGGAGGTTTGTTAAATTTTTTTTCGTGTTGTTGCCAATAATTCAGATGCCATTAGCAAAAACGGCTTACCGTATTCTTATCTATAAAAACGGAATCGACGAACAAATGGACGTGTAATTTTTTTACGAGTGGTTGGACTGAAGACAAAAGTTTTGGCGTCTTAGAGGATGAGGTAAACTGCGACGGTGCTTTGTGCTGGGGATGAAATATTTACCCTGGGGTGATAAACCCCGTCGCCTCTGAGGGGGAAGTTTATGGACGGTGGTTGAACCTACAGTTCTTCTTGGGAGTTCACCACGACGTGGGAGGGGAGA